AGATCATAATGTAAGAAAACACAGTTGTGTTTTTAATCAAAATAGTGGTGCTGGGTATACTTTCAGATGTAACTAGGAAATGCCTGTGTTTATCTGGCTAATTTTCAGAATATTGAGATAACATGCACCACCTGTACTGCAGGTTTACATTCAGCTTTGCAAGTCAGGAAGAGCACTGTAAGAGGAAGTGATGGGTTAAGTACAGATGAGTTGTAAAAAACCTCTGAGCAGAAGGTTTACACAAACATTGATGCACATGATCAGAGATTGCTGCAACTTGTGGCTATGTGGGGAACTCATCATAAATCACCATAAGATGAGAATCTTGCAAACCCATACTGGAATCTGAACTGCAGAAATTTTCAGTACCGATAGCTGAGTGATACATGATCCTGACACAGTGACTGTTAATCATTTTAGGTGTTATCAAAAAACTAGGAGGAAAAAACACTTCCTGCGATGGCTGGAATCCCAAGGCACTGTAGTGTTCATAGAGGATCCAGCAACAGAAATTTTATATTTACTTTTCTTCATAGTGTCTGAAGGGGTAACACAAAATTCTGTATTTATGTTTGAAAGCAGTCTCAGTTTTAAGTTCAAGCCAGCTGTACCCTGAGGCTGAAACATGGCCATGTTTTGGCAGCAGGGAAGACTGCCATATGTTGCAGTGATAAAAAAAATTACACTGATGCCAATCTCTGAAGTCAGTCTTCTAAAAAATATATAAGAGAGCATATTTGTGGCAATATAAGCTTTTAGAGAGAGAAAAATAGCTTGACAAGCCTTTATATAATGATAATTTTTCTGTCTCTTTAACAGTAAATGCCGCAAGTCATAATTCACTGTTGTTCTTGAGAGAAGTTGTATATAATACATAAATCCATTGCATCTCCCTGTTACACAGAATTGCTTGCTGTCTAGCTCCCAGCTTTCAATTGCCACAGGACAATTTCATTCATTGAATAAGTTCGTACTTATTGACTGGCTTTTAGTGAGCACAAACGGGAAATCGATAAGATCTTTCTTTTAGGAGTCATTCAGGCAAGCCTCTAAATGAGAGCAGGGATGTGGACCCTGGACCTAGCTGGCAGCACCATAACATACTCTCTCCTTTTTAAGGTTAATATAGGCTATTGGTTTGTAGCTCTTATGGGTGAATTCCAATGCTTTTAAAATTGGCAATTAGTTTGTTTTAGTTCCAGCAGTATGTCAAGGATCTTGGAACACAACTATTTGTATCCTTGATATGCATATAATAAAATGTATTGAAGGATATATTCTTACACTGCCGTAGTTCCAAACTGCATCTACTGAAATCTTAATGCAGAACAAAATATCCAATTAAAAAAATGGGTCTCAATCATAAACCTTCTGTTCTCTACTGCAAACACTGAAGCTGCTGTTTCTTGTTGCTGAAGAAGGACTGTTACTGATCCATAAAGCTGACTATCTGAGCAGTTTTAAATTCCCTCCATTTACCAGTATCCTGAGATGCATTTTTTAGATGGCTAAGAAGTTGCTGAGAACAGACTATGGATTCCACCAGCATCTTCTTTCATGTCCATAAAACATATGGCCATAAACTACCATTTATGTCCTTGAGCTTTTGAAAGAAATTATCCAGAGATGCAATAAATTTGTTTTGAAGCAGAAATTTTACTATTGGCTAGGTCAGTAGTTTCCAGATAAACATTTTCTTGCCCAGCAATGATGGTAGTCAGCAAACTTGCATTTTTTGACAGTATACAAGCTAGAGTTCTTCTGATCTCCTGTGCCAATGGGTTCAATTGGCCTTGATGTGAGGACACTAATTCATTTGCATTCTTTGTATATACACACTTTTCCATTTCCACTTCTCTTAAATTCCCATAGTACTTTGCATCTGAGAAAAAAAACCCCACTGTCTGTTTCTGTAATTATTTCAGAGTGAGAGAAAAATCTCCTAAGAAGAGATTGATTGGTTTTTTATGGTCCTCAATCTCATCAACCAGAAAATTTCCTTATGTTATTCTGAAACAAACAGTTTAGTTCCAGGATAATTTCTACCATTGCTATCAAGATATTTAATGCTCCTCCTGATCCAGTATTTGCTTCTCAGACAATTTGAATGGCTCAACTTTACTAGCAAATGGCACAGTCCTATTTTGTCACACATTTTCAGACACTTGAGAAAGTTCAGAAAGGTCAGTGATTTTTTAACAGAGGTAAAAGACCCTGATACAACTAATGCAAATACCTTATCTGCTGAACAACTGATAGATAGGAGGACACCTATATATTATGCATAAGATATCAACATCTGTTGCTGCTTCAGATAGTTCTCACTAACTGAATCTTATACTTTATTGACCAGAACATTAATTTCTCTTTCAAATCTATTTGGATGATAACACTGTGATGATCAACAGCTGTCTTATGATACGTTTTTGCTTAGATACATGATTTATTAACAGTACTGACCAAATGGCTAGCTGTGCCGTGAAGTTTTTGTGTATTCAGAACTGAAACCATATATTCTTACCCAGCTAGAGGAATCTTGGTTTCTTGCAGATCTATCTGTGCTTAATTTCAGCTATTTTTCCTTGAATTACAGATCTGTTTTCATTGCTTAATTGCGAATGATTTAGTGATTGAATTCTCACCACTTTTTCCATGGTGCTCATTATCTCAATATACTCTGTAACTTTTTCTTCCCAAACTGTCAGCTTTCCTTTAAGGGCTACGTGAATTTTCAATGAAAATATAGATTCCATTTCACTCTTGTGCAGCAATGAGGTCTCCTTTTAGGTGCTCAATCTCTTCAGTATCTTCCTCAATAACAGCTCCTTTTGGCAGCTGCTGGTTAAATTAAGGTTTCATCACTTTCTTTGCTCTGTGAGCATACTCCACTGTACTCTGTTTTCCCTTGGGATTTATAGATGTGGGAGAAACTCTGGCTATTACTGATGTCCTTTTTGTTCTCTTAGAGTCTTGAAGGATTCTCTTAGGATGTCTTCTGAGTCTTCTTCCACAAGAGCAACAATAACTCTTTCATAGTTCAGGATAGATCACTTGGTATTTCCAGCTTCATAAACTCTTTTATCAACTACCCCAAACTGAAGTGTTTTTACCTCATGCAAGTTTGTATTCCCAGTTCGAACAATCTTGTTCATCTGCTCGAGTTACTTTCATACAAATGGTAAAAGTAAAACTGGATCAACTGGAATATGCATTCATGTAAGTAGCTGCAATAGTTGTTTTTGCTGCATCTTTTTTCCAAGATCTGGTAGGCTTCATTTTTGTTGTGTTCAGGTATTTCTTTGGAGCCTTTCACATTTACATGTCTTGTGTATGGGATCATCAAACATCTGCAGTCTTTCTCTAGAGCTGGGAATAGGAGTAAGATAAAAAAGCTCTTCATTATATATTTCCAGAATAGAGACTTTTACAAAGAAAAAAAAAAAGAATAAAAATAATTTTCAGTCTCGGTGACTTTTACTAATATTTAATATGATATATTGCCAGACTCCTTTCAGTGGTGTCCAGCAACAGGACAAGGAGCAGTGACCATAAACCAAAACACAAGAAGTTCCACCTCAACAGGAGGAAGAACTTTACATTGAAAGTGGTAGAGCCCTGTAAGAGGCTGCCTAGGGAGGTATTCCTCTCTGGAGACATTCAAAACCCACTTGGATGCAAACAAGGAAAGGTACTGTAGCCAGAACAGTTTTGTGTTGAACGTGAATTAACTGGTTCTAATGAAGCACTGGCCTTGTCTTTATGCTTCTGTTTTGGAACAAAAATGGGCCTCTGCCTGGTATTGCACTTCATAAGCACCAAGCTGCTTCACCCTTGACTTGGAGAAGCTTTGTATTGCTACCCAAAACACTCCATGTACTGCATCTGGTGCACTTTCTGAGCTAACTTTCCAGTTGTTACTGTTGCTCTGCAGGGGAGGAATTGGGGTATTTCTAGATATCTTTCACAAACACCTTGCAACAGAACAACTCTTCTGTCAGTAGGCTTAACTGAAGGCCCACATGCTGTAAAGGTGTCTTAAGGAATTGTTATCTAAAAAAGACTTGAACTCCTCTGATGTGGCATGCATGCAAAATTTAATATGGAGGTATGCTGGAGATGGAGGCAGAGATTTTTGGGATCTACTGTTTTTATATTAACTTCACAGATCAGAAAACAGAAACTAAACTCCTAAGAAAATCCAGGAGCAACATGAAAAACTGCTCAAAAGTAGAAGTGCTCTGTGCAATTATCAAAATTGTATTTTCTCCTATATATTAAAGCACATTCCAGTTTTGCTGATTATGAATGGATCACTAATCATTAGATTTATTTTTTATTCTTCCTGAATGTTCTTCATAACCATGGGATCAGTTAGAGGGTGCAGGAAGAAAAGTTCTCACCACCTGTCAGTTTCACGAGGTGAGGCTGAAATAACATCATTGTTACTAAGTCTCACTGCAGAGCTGGGTCCTGTGTCCCTGCAAAGACGGCATTTGGAGAAATACACAATGGCACAGCACTTGTATCTCAGACGGATGTTCCTCATCACTTTCACACATAAGATTTTTAAAAAGTCACATTAAACCCCATAACAGGATGATAAAGCAGTGATGCCTTAATATCCTAGGACATAGCACTCTGGTCCTGACGTATTTCCAGCCGTATCTCTTGTTCTAAAATCCTCCTTCCCAAATGCCTCCCTGACAACCCTCCTGACCCCGCCGTTCTCGTGGTTATCCCACCTCGCAGGTGCTCTTCCTACAAACTTAGCACCACTTAAAGGGCTCACCCAGCCAGGCCTTTTCCCTCCAGCGCTCCCGCAGGGCCGCGGCCCCGGCGGCTGAGCAGCGCGGCCCTCGCCTCCCGGGGGCACGGCGGGCTGCGCTGGCGGCCCTGTACGGCCCCGGGAGCGGCGGACACACCGCCGCCTCCTCCTCCGGCAGGTGCGGCCCTCCCGGGCCGCCGCTGCGCACTGGGCGGGGCGGGGAAGCTCCTCCTGCTCGGGCACCGGAGCGGCACAGCCGGGACGGCGGCTCTGCGGCGCGGGAGCTGCTTGCCCGCGGCTCGTCCCCCCGCTGCCGTCGGAGCGGAGCGGAGCGGGGCGGAGAGGCGGCGCCGCCACCGCCGTGCGCGGCCCCGGCACCTGCCCGAGGTGAGCGAGCGGCCGGGCCCGAGGCGGCCCTCGCCGCCCCTGTTACCTAACCGGGACCGGGGCGGGGGGCGGCCGCCGGTCGTGCCCTGCGGCCCCGGCCGCTCAGCACCGCTGCGGTGGCAAGGGGGGCTCTGATGGCAGGAGGGGGCGGCGAGGGCGAGTGTCCCCGTTGCCAGGGAGACGGGTCAAGCGGCGGCTCCTGCCGCCGGGGCGCCCGCGGGCACCGAGCGGCGCTCCCGCCGGCCCTCGGCTCCGCGTAGGAGGCAACACAACCGCGGGGAGCGGCGGTGGGGGGAGGACGAGCCCGAGCCCGGGGTGGCTCCGGGACGCCGTGAGTCCCGCTCCCCGCGGGGTTGTGCGGGGACGCGCTCCAGGTGCTGGGCTGGCGGCGGCTGGGTGAAACATGGCTCTGCTGCAGGGCGGCTCGCCACTTGCTGCGGGCTGCGCCCTCGCGTACCCGCACTTGGAGCTACTCGTTTCACTGACAAAATCAAGCTCTTGCTCCTCTCCGGCGTTTAAATATGCGGGAGCTCTCAGCGACAAATGGTCCAGGCACCCTGATTGCTGGAACGTTGTATCTGCAGCCCTCGCAATTGAAGAGGTGCTGCTCAGGTGGTTGCAGCTGATGGTGGGGAAAGATTTGCTCCTCGGCAGGAAATTTCCAGTTTTTTGGAGCAATTCTGCCGAAGAAGCGCGGGTCCCCGCGGTGCCGCAGGTTGCGGATGGCTCAGCTGATTGCTGCCGCTCTCCCAGGCCATCGGTGCGGGTGGATCCCGGCTCCTCCGAGCGGGCTCGGAGCGACAGCTGATCCATGGCTGTCACACCATGGAGCATGGGGAGCAGCGCGCTCGGCACCAGACACCGCAATCAAACGGGAAAGAAGTGGAATGATGGTTTAAGTCTTACCACGGGGAAATAAACTACAGACGTTGATGATAGCAAATCGCGTGACTACAGTTTTTAAAGCTTGAATTTTTCCAGTTTTGTCGGGCTAGGAAAATACATTTCAAACGTTTCAATAGAAAGTTGGGGTTAGTCTTGTTTGAGTAAATGTTCATGGCAGCATTTGTTCAGTCGTGAAAAGACCAGGAGCAGACCCAGAGGCCACAATCCTGTTAACTGTAGCACATAGGGTGAAGGATTACTGGAGCCCTGCCAATTCCTGTTGATTCTGGGATCTGCTTCGATAAAGCAGTTGGCAGGAGCAAGACCGCTGAGGCGTGTTCAGTTCTTCGGAGTTTTTATCTGAAAACCGTATTTATTGTTTAAATAGATCCTACAGAAATCCAGTGATGTGCTGAATAAGTAATACAGTTACCTCAGATGCTTAAAAAGCCACCTATATATAGCTAGTCAGTCACATCTCCTTGTGTTATTCAAGTTTACAGGTTATTACAGAGAAATTTTTTCTTTACTTTGAAAGTACTCCAGAAAAACTCCTTTAATCTTTTGCCTGTTTTTCAGACTGTGAATAATTTGACAGCATTTGTAAAGCACTCTACAGTTATTATGTACAAAGTACTATGCTAGGTATGCTATGGTATCTCAGAAACTGTTAGAGAATAATAAACTCTTGATTAGTAGGACACTAAAAATAATGCAGTTGCACCAATTAACATCTCTTAAGCACAAGATTTATAATTTTTTTAGATGTCTACAATGTTTATAAAAATAATGTGTTATACTGTACAAACAAAAGGCCCCATTAATTCCTGTATAAGCATACATGGACAAAATGTACATTTGGGCAGCTATTGAATTGGCAGATGGGGCAAAGATTGTACTCCTAATATGTCAAGAGTGAAAGAAGTTGCCTTGGGTTTCTTTGACAATGGTCCAGTTACATTGGCAGGTATACCTTTCATTCAATTCCAAACAAGAGATAATTCTGTTAGGGAAGGGAATTTTAATATGGAAATGGAAATGTTTTTTATTTAACACATTGTAGCTCAGCACAAACCACACACAAGATGAGATTAGCACTGTTTTTACTGTCAGAATACAATGGAATACTGTAAAAGTAAAGATGACCATGCAGAAATTTAATTTATGGATATATTTTTATGAAAATGAGCTTGGAAGTGACTATGCTTCAAACTGACTCTGAAGAAATAGTGTAGAATCTTGCCTTGGACAAGAAATATGAGATTCCCACTGATCTTCTAGTGGAGTTGTAATCTTTCCTCAGTCTTGTCTTCTCTTTAAAACAGGACATGAACAACTGTGTTTAAGATGGCACCTTCTGTTGAAAAGTCTGTGTATTGCCAATCGTGTAAGTGAATTTCACCCAGGATTTGAACATACAAAGAAATTGGAGTAGCATCAAGGGAGGTGGTTTGGTTTTGTTTTTTTTTTTCTTTTCTTTTTATTAAGGGGAGCAATAACATTTGATTTTACAGTAAGGAGAAGTATGGTTAGAAGATCAGTAGCAGATGGAAATTTATGCTGGCATGGGTCATTTCTTCAGTGGGCACTTACAAAGTAAAGTAAGCGTAATTTGAACAGAGAAAATGCCGTGTTCATTAAAAAAGACTTTTTTGTTGTCTATTCAGAATGTCTTTCTTTTGCCTGAAAAATCAAAAATTGGTGTAACAGCTTCTGACACTGATGATCAGCTTCTAGAAAGCAGCAAAAAGGAATGTATTTAATAAGAAATCCATGGCACTGCCATGGTGTTTTTGATCGATTCTGCTGACTGGAATATGATGTGCTTAATGGTCAAGAATGACAGTAATTTAATGCCACACTAGCATGGGGAAGTGATGATTATAAATTGAGCTAGAAGTGGGAATTGGATTAAGTGAAAAATGAAACTAATTTAATCACTTGTGTGAGAACAGATGACAGTTATTGTGAAAAACTAGCAAAACATAAATATAATGCAGTGTAATTATACTTACCTACAGCAACCACATATTTGTCTCATTTTAATTCTTTTATTGAAAAAAAGAGTTATCCTTCATATTTCTCATCTGTTTAAGACTTTCATATGATACTTGCCAGTGTTCTCTGCTCTTAGGGCTTCAATTACTCTGATTACTCTGATTGAAGGAAGTGGAGGGAGTCTTATGTTTGAATTTTTTCTATCTCTCTTCTTTGGAGATAGAGGAACAAACTTTAGCCAAAAAGCTAAAAATTATAAGATTTTCCTAAGAAATTACTGAATTTTTAGAAATCAAATTTTTAATTTTTTTACACTTTAGCCCCCACACAAAAAAGCCCAAACCCACTCTCATATTACTAACTGGTAGAAGTAGTATATCCCCTCAAATTTCTTGAATTATCTGATGCTTCTATTTAGTAGTGAAAGACAGGATCCTTGACATAGTGATTTCTAAACCCTCACTTCTTTGTGGTCTGATTGTGATGGCTTTTTGACTGCTTGTGAAATAAAATGAGGTCTGTTGCTCTGGCACTCTGTGTGCATACTATATTGCATGACTGTGTGCTTGTAGATGGGATGATTTTATTTCCAAGGGATTTTTGAAATTTTACTATCAAATTTTGATTGTTGAAAATAAGAGTAGAAATCCCTCACAAGGTCTTGTAATTATTTTCTTTTTTTTAAATTTTGTCTCATGTGTGGGTTTTACCCCTACTGAGTTTTGGGCTTTGAACATTTAGAACCTTCAAATTGAGAAGAAACATACTTAGGAGGCTATTTTTTGAGGGGTATTCCTGCTAAACCTGAAGAAATTTCAGGGACTAGAGGCCACTCTGGGAGGTAGCTTCAAGAGAAGAAAATGAAACAACAGGTTGGAGTTTGACAGTTTAAACTGGGAGACCAGGAGAGCTTTGAAACTCCTGGTTGTGGGTGTTCCTGTGTGGACCAGCCCCTGAATCTGCCTGACCTTTATAGAAAAGGAAATGTCTAATGTAGACCAGAAGGGAGCAGCAGCAGGTCCTGGGCAGGTGCTAGTCCTAGAAAACTGTTCTGTCAAGATTTATCAGTCGTGTTTTAATTGCACTTTTAACTATAGAAAAATTTAGACTAACCTAAGATTCAACACTGAAATGCATTGCTGGACTTGCTGTGGACCTGCAGTGCTCTTCTTCCTTTCTGGGGCAGGAGTTTTCACAGATGAGGTGCCTGAAGTAGGAGACCTTTTGTTCTCCTTGCTGTTAGTGGCAGTGAGGTTGCTCAGAGCAGATAGCTTGTGGGAACTGGAGCAGTACCACGGGGTCTTCATGCACCTACATACACTGCTAGATCTTCAAAATACAGCTCTCCTTTGGCTTGAGACAAGAAAGATGCTGTTTCAGAAACTGACATTCCAGTAGTGAATGCTGTACAAATTCCAGTCACACCATGCTAGTTGGAAGCTATTGACCTTGCTATTGACAGTTGGATATTTCCCTCTGATGAGAAAGCAATGAAATATGTACACAATTATGAGTGAAATAAATCTGAGACTTCAGAACATCAATAATATTTGAGAATGCGTGATTTTTTTTTTCCTTGAAGTTAGGTGACTACTCTCAACAGTTATGTAAATTAAGGATTTGTTCTGCCAAAATTTCCGTGGCAATATGCTGTGGCAGTTTAGAAGAGCTTTAATTGTAGGGAATGAGCTCTGTAGGGAGATAAATATTGTAAATATTTTGATTTGTCAGTACATGAAAGTTAAGGTTGTTCTGAAGAGTGTCTTTTTCTACAACCATCTGTCTTTGTTTTTCCTGACAGGAATGATACATATAGTGGGGGTATTTTACAGTATAGATTTTGTAATGTTGGAGCCTAATTTACTTTTGTGTTTTTCCTGAGTGCTGTGATTGTTTAAGATGGATCTTAAGATTGTGGATTTTTCTGCTCAATAGTCTAAAGTCTGTAATTCTTTTAACCCCTTATGCCTCCAGAATGATCTTTCATTTTAGTCTTCGGTAAGAAATCCATTGGAAAAAATTCTCAGCATCACTAGTTTGGATTATGGGGGTGTTTTGTTTTAAAGGCGTCATATCTCAGAGTTATTGAGGTCCATTTCTGCACTGTTGTTAAGGCT